AGAATGAAGGATAATTACCAAGGATGCAATTACTGGAGTGAGCACCAATGAAAGCACATTTAAACGTCCATTTTAGTAAACACATAACATTTGATGGCGGGCCTCTTGTAAGCACGTGGACACTTAGCTCTGATCGGTCTCACATATCTGTGTGTAAATTAATCAGTTTAAGAAACTGAAATTAAGCAGCATGATCATTATTATTGTTATTAGAAAGAAGTTAATTTGATTAGCAATTGAGTGCTTTCCAGTTTTCATTCCAGTGTATCTAGGGAGTAAAGAAAGCAATACTGTGCTAGTTTCACTAGCTGCAATCTTACCGATGTCTTCTTTACTTGCCAGTGACAGCTTTTACTGTCGGTAAATTGCAGAAAGGGTCTCATGGCCACAGCTAATGTGTTTCTATAGGGACTAATGGGCTTTCCAGCCTACAGGGTTACCTCCAACTTCACTGAATAGTGAATCTATAGTACCATTATACACTCCGCTATTATCTCTAATGTGGAGACCTGCTCTTGTATGTCATATACTAAGCACACAGTACTGTCATGTATAATGTTTATTAGCTCTTAACATTTATGAATAATCTGTTGTATTTAAATTCCTTTGGATGTTTGAGAGCTGGCTGAAAGAGGTTCAGATCATTTTTTTACAGGAGCTAAGTCTCTAGTGTGTTGCACTGTGATATGTCTTTACAAATGCTGAAATGTGTAACACTGCATTGAAAACCAACAGAATTGTGTAACCCCACTGGCACTTGTCTTCATAAAAATTGAATTTAGAGAGTTAATATGACGAAAGGGGCTTGAAGGCAGAAAAATCCCACAGTGAACAATCAAGCTTGTGTTGGTGTGCTGAAAAATGGACAGACAAAAATATATTCAGTCTCATTATTCACCACTTGAAGATGGGACATAGCGAAGCTGCTGGGAGAATTCCTGCTTCTTCCCTTTCCTCCTTCAAGCACTGAAAATGAGTCCAATTTGAGTAGCATCTGCTCTGTGGGATCTCTTAGAGTGCAGGCAGTAACAATGGCCCTCTGGAACAAGGCCCTTTCCTTCTCTTAATTGCAGCCACATGTGTGGTGGAAAAGAGCCCCCTGCCTGCACCACTAGCCCTGGAATACGTCCAGAATCGCCCACACAGTCACTGAGCGAGCACAGCCAGCAGCAAACACACTCTAATTGCAAAGAGTGGAGCCCCTGGCTGGAGAGCGGGGGGGTGCGCCAGGACCCTGTGTACTAGCTGAAGGACAGCTAGTGCTTTCACATTCCAGGACTGGTTCAAAGTGGTCGCTGGCCATTCAAAAATGGGGACACTCTGCATTACAGACGTAACATATTTTGGCTGAACTCGAGGGCCATCGGCTTGTTTCCAAGACTAATGGATGGATGTAAAATGTCTTTTTCTATCTGGACTGTCAGGAGATACTTCATCGTTTTGGATTAGAAACATTGGGGAACATCTGGCTGCTGATCTGTGGAGTGCAGGAGTGAATGCCATGTGATAAGTGCACTTCCAGTTCCTCTGCTTCCAGTTTTTTTCTGAGATAGCGCCAATGTAGCAACCAACCAGACTGTTAGCTCTCCTCCAACACATCAAAACAAGCAACATTTTCCAATAAGTTTTTCAACAGCTGTTTCATGCTTACACAGGTTCTTGGATGCAGTACTTTCAGAAACGTACCAAGGATGTTTAAACTGAATCTAAAGTTCTCTTGTGGAATCTCAGACTGCTCATCCACTGACATGGTCGGTTAGGCAAAGGACTGCCAGAAAAACAAGTCAAACATGACTTTTCATGAAAGGGCCATAGTAACAGTGTGCCTTGCCCTGAGGGGGCCAAGGTGTCAGTTTTACTGATTTGAGACAGCCTTGGTAAGGCCTCCATCACAGGAGATGTACTGCACATTAAGCTGCCATGCTGCAAGGCTGTAGCATACACAAGGTCAGGGTGCAGATTTATGCTTCTTCCTAAGCAGAATGAACAGCGCGGGAGCTATCTAGGGTTTAGGGGAAATGAACCTTTTCATCACATTGATTTCCTAAAGCACCTGGAAAAAAGCTTTGTCAGCTCCTGGCATTTGGGTCTGATTGTGACAGATCTGCCCACAATCCGGGCCTTTAGCTTCGGCTGGATAGTAGTAGCATGGTTTTCTTGCCATACCCTGTTTGAGTAATAGATAACACTTGTCTTTGGGTTATTCAAACCTTTGTACATCTCATTCCATCAATATGTCATTGATTCACATGCTCTGTGGTGCCAGTGGCTGTCAAACAAAAAGCATCGGTCAAGTCCATCTTTTGTTTAACTGTAAGCTGCTCTCAGCCACTTCTTGAGTTTAAACTGTGTTTAAGCTACAAGCCGTAAGATTAAGATCAGTTTGAATAGCTGTGTAATATTGTTAAGTACATAGAAAATACATTAATATGTTTTTGAAGAGCAACTTGGGGGTAAAACATTTTTACACTAATGTCAAACATTTTCTGATAATGGCTGTTGAATTAATAAACCCTTGTTTTTTTCTTTTACAACACAAAAGGTACAGATTTAGAGGAAAGGGTGTCGGTTTTCAGTGAAGCTGCTCAAAAACACTTTTCTAATTTTAAAATTCGCATCATATTTCGTCACATAAGGAACTTGTGTTCTGTGACTCTGGCTTAGCTCAACGAGCAGTAGTAGATGGTTGTGAGTCTTACCAGATGTGTTATTGTGTTTATATCGTTTCCAATCTGCAGCTATATATTTCCAAAAATGACAACTGTTAGGATAAGACTGATAGAGAAGTGCATTATGTAGCATTTTTTAGGGGGTTCTATAGTTTCTCTTCTTAACATCTGTTTTAGTAGACATAAATAGAAGCTAATCACTGTGTCTGGAGCAGACTACACATTTTTGCAAATTTACGCCTACTCAATTTATGTGTTTTGTGGAATATCTCTTAAGTCAAAAGATGTCTGTTTTTCCACAACAAATCTCTCATGAAACAGCCAGAACATTTATCAGCATCTCAGATGTGTTTGAGCTTTGAGGAAGGGGGTAAAGGAAAAGAAGAAGAAAAGTCTGCTTCTCCTCGTCTTTTCTTTGTGGGTTGCAGAGATAGGGGGATATGGGCCGGGGGAAGTACAGTATGTCATCTTGTCCAAGGCTTTGATCCTCTCAGCCTGTACTTCCACATCATTTGAGTTCTTGTACGATATTTAGTTGGACCCTATCACCTCTCCGATGCCTCCATCCACCAAAGGGTTTGCTGTTTTCCACTAGAGCCGCTGGGCATTTTGTTTTAAGCTCTGTATGAGGATGCTTAGCTACAAAGACCATCAGGCGGCTTTGTTTCAGAAAGCAGTTTGCTACAGTACAACTATCAAATATTTGTATTAAGCCTCACAGCATGTAATAAGCTGGCTCTCTGATGACACGGCTGGTTATTACATTTTAATTCAGCTTTTTACACAACTTTTCATTTTAAAATGACAAAGAGTCTCTCATAAGAAACTTCTATCTTTATTGCAAATCTTGACTTCTCCTTTATTAGTTTACGTGAGATTATAAGATAATTATCATCAAATCATGTGCTGTCATTACAGCTGAAGAACTGTGTCTTTTGAAATCTAATAGTCATGTCAGCCAGTTGACTTGTGCTGTGTATGTTAACACAAAATGAAACTAATCGGAACAGAGCAGGTGATTAATGATTTTCATACAGATGTCTTTTTTATCTGACACCATTTTACATTTGTCTCGTTGATTAAATCCTAATCAACACCTTGTTCTGCAGTTTGCCAGATTTTAACCGTGTCGTACAATCCAATTGAGTTCAAATTACTTCACATGAAAGAGAGTCCGGGGAGAGAGCTGGCCAGGCCTAAAGGGACTGAGGATTAAGAATGTGTAATTTATTCAATGAAGAGCACTTTCCTTCCTGCCCTCTGTGGTTGGTCGCTTGTAGGAGCAGATGATTCTGAATTTGAAATCGTATAAAACATGACAAGAGCGGGATGACCTTTTTCAGCTTAGCTGCATGCTTTTCTCAGCTTCATGAGAGTGCAGTCACATCTGAATGAGCAGGCCGGAAAGTATCCACTGAAAAAAAAAATACTCAAATGTTTTATGACAAGCTGTGTTTGAGGAATGCTCGTTGTGAAATGTATCATGAATGTGATTATAGTGATGAGTAATCTGTATGTAATTGTTGCAGGTATGGTTGGAAATGCTATTAGCAGTTTTGACGTTAGTTTGCAGCAGTGCTCAACAAGCTGTTTGTCATCAATATCACAAAATTCATTACAAAACAATCGATTGAAAATGTGACAATATCAGTGCATATAACGGTACAGCAAAGGCACGACAGAACAAAGACAAACAATGGAATGATGGTTCTGTGTAGTCTCCTCTCCACTGTTATTCATCACATCTTTAAATGATGGTCTTTCATTTTGAATTTCACTGCCCACTACTAGTTGCAATAATGTGTAAAAAAAAATAATACATTTTGATTATTTCACAGATCTGCTCTAAATTTTGATAGTTCTTCCATTATTTATATTTTCTTATTTTTGTATTTATTAACTGCATACTAAGTGGTTCTGTGTAAGACCTGGGGAATCATTTGGTGTAAATGTGAAAGAGAGAATTGTCAAAGACAGAGCCAGTGGCTGTAAGTGTTAATGTGAGTATAAATCAATACCTGGAATGTAAGCGATTACCTAAATAGATATTGTAATCTGGGACTTTTCTGCTGCTACGCCTCAGTGCATCCTGCTGATGCCTTCTGTACTCTCACTGACTGTGAATAAGACTGTCATCATAAAATGCAAACGTGAAGAATGTGTTTCAAACTATTGGCCACATAATGTGCTCGCAGCATTTGACAAAACATTTGAAATAACTGAAAGCATTGTTAATTCGTTGTTGTTCTGGTAAAGGTCAAATGACACTTCTCCAAGTTAATTGTCATCACAGGCCATTAGTGAACTCTGTCTTTCTTCTTTTTATCACAGCTCTGAGAGACCACAGAATCGAGCTGGTGCGAGCCACGTCGCAGGAGCTTACTATAAGAATCGGTGACGTCGGCCTGTCAGACGAGGGCCTGTACACCTGCTCTCTCTTCACCATGCCTGTCAAGACCACCAAGGCCTTTCTTACTGTTCTGGGTGAGCATGTCGGCTTTGTCCCAGCTTCCTCAGGCCTATAAGCTGAGGCTTATCCTCCACATTCTGCCACCATGAACCCCTGCACATTTTGTATTTTAGTCTGCTGTTTGTGAACACCACCAGCATTCTACTGTAGCCTTTCTCGCACATGCACTCTTGAACATTTCTAGAAAACTGCAGGACTGTCTGCCCCTACAGTCCTTCTGAGTTGCCTGTTCACAAATGCCCCTCACAGAAGGGGACGTTATCTGTCAGACAGGGGTGAGGGGCTTCAGGAGGCAGGGTAGAAGGTAAAAAGGGGGATGCAGAAAAGCGATGGTCTGATAAAAACGTTATCACACCAGCTCGCTCGCTCATAGTGATTTTTCCTGAATATTTCCTGCTCTGTTCACACATCAGCTCACCACGAAATTTGAGGGAAACACCATAAGAAAGAAAATGACATTAATACTTGACATTCTACCACTTTACATTGTAAATATGTCTACTAGAGAAAATAAAACTAGTTACCCTTAGTAGTTTTGTTTTTTTTCTCAGAGAGAGCAGCTTCAAAAAACACAAATATGTTTTAACCTTTTATACCTGATTAAGGCTGACAGGTTTGTTAAAGAAAAAGCAGAATGAGAAGAAAATAGCAGTCAACCCCCACACACTGTCAACAGTTGCACTATATTTATTTAGTCTAACTGGAAGATGACCTTCATTGGGCTTTTCACAGCCAAACAAGAAGAGAGGAGCCTCGGAAATTGGATGAATATTTAGGTAGATTTATTTTGTACTTGCTTTAAAAACCATAAACCATTAAGTCTAAGTATCTGAAGCTTCCTATTACTCACATCTTCTTTCTAGAAGTCCTATTGCTTGTTTTTAGTTGCTTGTTTAGTTTAACTGCTGTTCTTATTCTATTTTATTGTTTTTTTCCTAACAAATTCCAACTTTGGTAAGAATAAACGGCAAATGTTTGATTATTTTCCATCCAACGAAGAGGAAAAGTTTGAACACCTAGAAGATGACATCATTCAGTTAAAGATACAGTACAGTGTATACAACTCCCTAATTAATAAATCTGCTCATCATCATTCTGTAAACATGTGTTCAGTCTGTTTTTAATATGAATATTGTCATGCACTTCAGGAGTTCCAGGACGACCAGAGATCACAGGATTCACCAAACCGGCCATGGAGGGGGACCTCATCACCCTGACGTGCACCACATCGGGCAGCAAACCAGCTGCCAACATCAAGTGGTACAGAAACGACAAGGAGGTCCAAGGTAAGCATGTGGTGTAGATTTCACAGAACACTGTGTCCTCTGCTACCACTTGTACCCTCTTGGACACTTCATTACTGTCAAGTCATTCAGCTGCTGCATTCCTTTGTACTCATATTCATGCATTGTTCCTCTGGCAGAGGTTTAGTGGTGCCCTGATTTCACCTGGCTCACTGCCAGCATTACTGCTGTCTTTGGAAGCTGTCCAGATTTAGACGAGCTGTAGCGGAGAGACGTCCACGTTTCACTACCTGACCAAGGTGAAGACATATAGGAGGGCCTGTTATTGATTCTAATTATAAAATGTACATCAACAACACGTTCTGCTCGGCATTCTGTTTTCACTGTGGGTGGTTTTGAAGTAATGATGTACTCAGCTGTTTGATTAATAGAAACCCAAATCAATCAGGCAATTCTGAAGGTGATTATAAAAAATGAAAAAGTCAGCTCTGGGGTTTTCTCCTTCAATCTTGCTTTCTTTTTTTTTCACAAGGACAAAGAACAGAGAAGCAGAAAATCCTTACGTTTTGCAGGCTAAGACCAATATACATTTTTGTTTACTGAAAAAGATTAAAAAGTCGATTTATGTCAGAAATTAGTTCATTAATTAGCTGTGGATAGACTTATTGACAGATAAAAAGATCAATTATCTACACACTGCTAATCCATTCGAGGGTCAGTACTGCTTCTTACAGGTAAGATATTCTTTTAAAATGGTTTGGGGAAAAATTCTCTTGAGATTTTCAGCATGCCATTCTTGAAGTTAAAGACAGACTGTGTGCTTACATTTTTTGACGTTCACCTAAAAAGACACACAGGTGTCAATGCATCTCATGGTTTGAAAATCCTTCTGCGTACTAGCTTAGTGCTGTTTCATGTGATGAGTTGATCTTGCTGGCCCTCCCATTTGTTCAGCAGCTGGCATTTTGCTGCTTTATTTGGATTTTTTGAACAACAGTGATTTAAGTCAGATGAATATAGGAGGATGCAAGAATGCAAGCGCCAAACGGCTTTCTTAACTAGCTTCAGCCAGACTGGTAAACAGTGACAGAGACGGTGCATTAGGCAGCAGATGGTGCACTGTAATGTGAGCTGATCACACTAAACCAGCAGAAGTTTTCTGTGGTTTCACACTGTGTGCTTTTTCTTCTCTACCTCTTCCCAAATTCTCTGACACTTTGTATTTTTCAAGCTTTTATCACACTCTTATTTCTGCTTTGAGATGGTACAAAAGAGACAAAAACATGAAAAAAAACTGGAATTGAATGTTTTGCCTCAATTTGATGGCAGAGGTAAGATGTGTGCAGCTCTTTAATGTAATGGAGCCTGCTGCGGAGACTCAGTGTGACAGTTGCTCTTTACTGAAGATTTGCACCAGAGAGTTTTTTACTTGGTGGTACTGTCTGTGTCTGCCCAACACGGCATGATGATTGATGGGAGTGGGGCTGGGATATGAAGTTTTCTTGTTGAAATGACATGCACGTAGACTCCTGAAAGGCCACTGGCAAACCAGCACACAGCATCACAACCAGTCTTGCTGTCCAACCTCAAGAGGCACTGAGATTATCTCTTTTGGTGCTTTATAACAGGATATATTTTAAATAAAAATCTTTGTAGCTCAAATCTGTATATTAACATATATAGAAGTGTGCACATTAAACAAGTGTTAACATATAGCTCAACAGGGTTACCTAGCTTCATTTATGTCTTTTGAAGATAAAACCAAAAATGTGTAAGTCAGCATCACATAAAACTGCAGAGGACAATATCAACTAAACATTCCCTGTATTTAAAGAGATGTGTGCATTTGTGCAATAAACTTAATTTGCCGTCTGGAAGAGCATATTTCTAAAAACCATCATGTGCCCCGAGTCTGCCCCTAACAGTGCCATATACAAATGTGCTTTTATTAGTTTTACAGCATACGCTGGATTTTTTATTAAGCCACTTGGGCAAACATACTGTGTGTGATGCATCTCCAAGTCAAAGCCATAAAGACCAAAGCAGAGACTGGAGGGTTCAACTGAAAAACTTCATTTCCATGTCAAAGTGTCAAAGAGGAGCAATGTCAATCAGCGCTCCAGATGCACAAGTCTTTTATAGGTGCTGCTTTAAAGCTTTCTTTAGCGAGTATGTGCTGGGAGCAGCATGTTTTGCCATTGGGTCTTCTGTGGAAGATCATTGCCGTCAGTGTCTGCTGTCAGTCAAACCAATCCTCACTGGAGGGAACCAGCCTATAAAGCTCCAAGATGACAGCAGGTGTAATAGCAAAAACATGTCATATTTATTTCATGCAATGATGATTTGTTTTCAAGCATTTATATTAGAAACACACAGCCTTACAAATCTCAAAATGCAACTGTCACCCATTGTCAAATAATTTGTTTGCAGTGTACATTACTTGTGTCGCTGAAAGACAGCAAAGGCATCACATTATAATCTATTGAGGAACGAATCCACCCAGTGTCACTTCATTTACATACATAAAGGAGCCTGCATGTTTCTTTCACACTGACACAAAGGCCTCTGTAAATAGTCAAGAGCTCCAACAGGCTCTCAAATGTTCTATGTATTATGGCAAGGCATGGACTCTTGACAATAAATGTTAGTATTATTATCATTATCTTGATCTTGGGTTAAATCTGTGCGATCCTATTAAAAAAAAAAAATCCTGCTCTCGTCCCCTTCTGTAAGAAAATAACACAATGTTTCATTCTTACCAGTGTTTCCCCATTATGTTAGGGGGGCGCCCACCCCTTGAAAGGTCAAGTAAAAAAACATATATATATTTCATTATTATAATTTTTTTTTTAAAGATTTATTTTTGGGCTTTTTGGGCCTTTATTGTAGAGATAGGATAGTGGATAGAGTCGGAAATCCGTGAAAGAAGTCATTTAAGGATACCTTTCCGATAGAAAAGGTATATAGGTAGATAGAGACCATAGACAGATAGATACATTCTCATTCTTGAGCTGGCAAAGAAACAGAGAGAGGAACGCCTGCGTGTCATGGCCAGTCTGACGTCGGTGCCCGTGGAGCCACAACATCCACAAGAGCTGAGAAGGAGGCAGTGAAGAAAAACATGACCATTGTCTCCTGCAAGGGGTGCAAGCGCCCTGTGAGTGGGAAGTGCACCGTAAAGGTTGAGCACTTTTGCCGCAGGTGTGTGCATTACGTGCCGCGGCGCTGTCCAAGGGGCCGATCGTTCATTTGTTCATCTGTTTGTTTGTTTGCCGCTGCATCTGTTATGGATTTCTGCAGTTATTTTTGTAGGTATAGTTTGTCATGCCCATAGATAGCCATGTTTTTGTTGTTGTCTTCGGTGTTTATCTCTTCTTTTTGCAGTGTTTTTATTAAAATGCATAGCCTAATATAGTCAACAATATAATAGACTAAAAGTTATGTATGTTTCATTTTTGTAGAATGTGTTTTATGACCTTTTAAATGACATGCGACATTTAAAAGGTTACCAATCCTGCCTTATGCTGATAGCCTATTTGGTTTGTAGATAAAGGTAAGTTGTAGTTAACTTCATTAAAAAAAAATGTATTATTTGTGTGCTTCTGAGCACAAACAATTTAATTTGCATATGCCGTCTGAAAGACATCTGCGGCGCTTGGAGGGGGGTCTAGAATGTTGGTGGTCCTAGTGTTAAAGTTAATGTTACATGGTTCGTCTTCATTGGACCGTTAGGACCTGTGTGTGTCCATCAGGATAGTTAATTGCTCTTTATGTTTAATGTGGGACTGTAGTGTTGAATGTGTTATTAATATTCGTACGCAGGTTTCATCTGTATTCCTGTCGTTTAATGCTTGCATAATTTCTGGAATATTTAGTTCACATATGTTAGTTATGTGTCTATTAGTAGGCTATGCGACTATATTCTGTTTAGTAAGGTTGCAGTATTGGGAGAAATAATTTATAATGCATGTCCCTTTATCTTTATTTTATTACTCAACAGAAAACCACACATACGTACCCACAAATATTTTCTGTAAACTCTAAAGGCTGCACAGTGCGTGAAGTGGATAATAAATGTTTTCTGAAGACAACGCTATCTTGAGCATTTTTACTGATGCCCCACGGTGACTACACTAACTGACCATCGAATTGTTAGTGGTAGTTGAATATTTAACAATGACAATATTTGCCTTTTTAACAACACCACAGGTTTTTCAAGAGTTTTCTGCAAGTGTGAAAGACCTATATGCCACAACTTAAGTTACAAACAAACTTCTTTGTCAGGTTTTAGTGTGGACTTTACATCAGAATTTATTTGACAAATTGTAAATAAAGTTTTGTTTTTTTTTTAAGTTAAAAAAACAGTCTTGTCAGCATTCCGTCTCAGAACATCAAAGTGCTTTGATGCCTTTGATGATGTCATGAAACGTTCTGAGACTGAAGTTTGCAGGTTAAAGGTCTGGAGAGGCAACTTGATTAAGTTCATAGAGAGATTTGTTCACTGAAGGATCGTACATTAGCCCACCCCCAAAAACAAAAAGGAAAATGTTTACTACAAGAAAAGCAATCCTGGACAGCCATGTTAAGGCCTACATCAAAGACTGGGAGATAGAAGTCTGTAAGAAACTGCAGTCCACCAAGGTGTTGCTCATTTCATGCAGGCCTAAAGAAAGAGCCTACCTGAAAAGAACAGTGGAGACCCTGTGTGGCGTCTTCGATTTGTTCCAAGGTCAAACCACAAACGACGAAAGCACCAAAGAAAATCTGCGAGAGGAACATGCAGCTCTCAAAGAGAAGCTGCATGAAACTGAATACAAGCTGAAGCATGTTTCTTACAACCTCAAAGCCCAATACAAGTTAAATTGGGACCTTAAAATCCAGCTTAGACAGTCCAAAGTTAAGTATTTCCAGGCCGCAAAAGTAGCAGAGACAGCAAAACAGGGCCTCAGTCGTCAGCTGAAGGAGCTCCAGGAGAACTCTGCCTTACAATTGAATGAGGAAATTGGAATCAACAAAAGTCTAAAGGCCAAACTGGAGGAGGC